TGAAGAAGGGTCCTGACCCAAAACGTCAGCTTCCCTGTTCCTCTGATGCTGCCTGGCCTGCTGTGTTCCTCCAGCTCTACATTGTGTTATCTCAGGTAGTGAAGTATTAGTTATTCATCTTTGCCAAAAAGAGTTAACACAGATGTACTTTTCTCTTTCCCAACTTTCTTGAAATAAGATCATGTATTTAGTAAATGCAGTAATATGCTGCAGTAGCAGCATTCAAAGAAAAATGTTCCTTTTTCTTAGTATTAAGTAACAGAGACCGCAGAATTATGTTTCTTATGACTGGAGAAACAATCCAAGAGTCAGCTGGTGCTAAATGTTTTGTTTCTGTATTAAGCAGACATATGTCGATTTAAGTATGGGTTATCTAATGGCCTCATCTAGGCTTGATTCAGTTAATATAATTTTAGCAACAGACAATGTGGTACATAGCTCATTTACTAGTACTGTATTTCATATAAAGATCATAATTTCTTACAAAATTTGAAATGAAAACAGTGCTGGAGATACTTGTGAGTGCAGCAGAATTTGTGGAGAGAAAGAGCTAGAAGTTCAGGTCAAAATTTTCATCAGAAACAGTACTTATTATTTAACACATCATTTTGTTTAGTCATTGCTAATTCAATTATTAAAAATTTTCGTTACAGGTTTCTTTGGCAGCTAACATCAAAAGATCTTTCAAACATCTATTGATTGCCATACTGTGGTTTCTTTCTCTCACAGGGTGCAAAGGCTTGTTTTTTGCGTGATATCCCATTCTCTGCTATCTACTTCCCTTGTTATTCTCACTTAAAATTGGCCTTTGCAAATCAGAATGGGCAGGTGCAATCCAGAGATCTGCTGTTGGCAGGAGCTTTGGCTGGTGAGCACCTTTTTTTTGCCTCTGCCTATACTGTGCCTGCTTAATAGAAGTGTTGGTGTCATATATACATTCTGTGATAACCAGATAATTTTTCAAAGCATGTACTCAATTTAAGGTTAGTTATTCTACTGCACCACATTAGGTGGAGAAAGTTGTTGAATATTAATGTTGTGACTTCATGAGCAGCTCTGAATCTGGGTATTCAGCAGTGAGTGGTTCATTGCCTGACTCCACAAAGCCTACCTATCGTTTACAAGATACAAGTCAGGAATGTGATGGAAATAATTTCCACTTCATGGATGACTGCAGTTCCAACAACACTCAAGACAATCACCACAATCCAGGGTAAAGGAGCCCATTTAATCAATGCTCTACACCAACCATTCACTCATCCCACACCAAAATTGTAGTGATTACTGTCTGTGTGATAGACTACTGCACCTTGCCAAGGTTTCTTCAGTAATTCCTCCCAAATCCACAACTTCTACCATTTAGAAGAACACTGCCATTTTCAAGTTCTTCTCCAAATGGCACATCATCTTGACTTGGATATGTATCTTGATTCCTTCACCATCGTTTGGTCAATGTCATGAAACTCCACTCCTAACAGCTTTGCGAGAATACCTTTTATACACCAACTGAAACAGTTCAAAAAAGTGGCTTGTTTTGAAGGCAGTTTAGGCCGAGCAATAAATGCCTTGCCAATTGCTCCCACGTCCTATGAATGAAGAATAAAAGTAGTTTGATCTAGGAAATTTGTGTCTAGCTAGGCTATACTTATTTGAGTGACAAACTGAGTCGAGATTACTATATTCCTGATTCTGCCACAGTTTTTGTTTCATTCTTTCCTGTTGTAAATCTTAATTACTCTTTGAGGCCTGCTCATCTGAAGGTTCACTGTGTAATTTCATAATGTCATGAAAAGCAAATTTTGAACTTTAGGCCTCTAACAGATTAAAACATAAACATATGCTAAAAATTTAACCCAATTCTGTCAGTTAAGAAATTGGATCCACTTCAGTAGTTTGAGGTTCAATTACAGGAGAAATTATAAGACTGTCATGATTTACATACATCATTCACATGCCAATCTCTGGTACAACAAACTTAGTTTTAACTGGTACCTTATCAACCGGTTCTTAGAGTCAGAGTCAGAGATGTACAGCACAGAAACTCGTCCATGCCAACCAGATATCCTAAATTAATCTAATCTCATTTTCCAGCATTTGGCCCATATCCCGCTAAACCCTTCCTAATCATGTACCCATACAGATGCCTTTTAAATATTGTAATTTTTACCTGGCTCCACCACTTCCTCTGGCAGCTCTTTCCATACACGTACCACCCTCTGTGAAAAAGTTGCCCCTTAGGTCCCTTTTAAATCTTTCCCCATTTATCTTAAACCTATGCCCTCTAGTTTTGGACTCCCCCCACCCTGTGGAAAAGACCTTGTCTATTTACCCTATTTATGACCCCCATGATTTTATAAACCTCTAAGGTCACCCCTCAGGCTCCAGGCTCCAGGCTCCGGGGAAAATAGCCCCTGCCGATTCAGACTCTCCCTATAGCTCAAACCCTCCAACCCTGGCAACATCCTTGTAAATCTTTTCTGAACTTTTTCAAGTTTCACAACATCCTTCCTATAGCAGGGAGACCAGAATTGCATGCAGTATTCAAAATGTGGCCTAACCAAAGTCCAATACAGATGCAGCATGACCTCCCAACTCCTATACTCTATGAACTGACCAATAAAGGCAAACATACCAAATGATTTCTTCACCATCCTATCTACCTGCAACTCCACTTTCAAGGAACTATGAACCTGCACTTGATAAACCGGCAAAAATTATACACCTCAAATATGACGATGTCAGAATATTTATGTTGTAAATAAAGTATAACGGTGATGTGTATACCCATGTATTACATTTCTATAAATTATTATGTTTTTACATTGATTTTAGGAGGTGTGTTGATGTTTCCACATAGATTTTTTTTCAGGGATGTTGATGTCTCCAAGCTTCACTTGGTCAGGTTTTACTGTGGACTTCTTAATTATCCACAATATTTAATTAACTGGCACACTACTGGTCCCATAGGTGCCGGTTAATCAAAGGTTTGCTGTACTAATTTTTTAATGTTTGTCTTATACTTTTATTTTAAGGTGAGATATTTTCTTTCCTCCTCATCCCTGATTTTTATACGATGCATACGAACATGTATCTAGGAAGCTGGCAGGTGCTTCTTCTTGTACTACTTTATACATCCAATCTCATGATAATGTGTGTTGTACTATGATTATTTTTCTTTTTTTTTTGTACAAGAGCCCTTCGGTTCCATTGGAAGTAATTCAGTAATGTCCTTGATTTGCTGCTGAATCCACTAACTATGCCTGCTCAGATTTTACACTCCAAAACCACTAATGTCACACTAAAGCAACTGTGCAGAGGAGAGAGGGTGTAGTGGTAGTGTTGCATGAAGAGTAAGCCACAGGCCCAGGAAAATGACCTGGGCACATGAATTCAAATCTCACCATGGCAGCTGGTGGAATTTGAATTCAATTAGTAAATCTGGAATATAAAACTAGTGCAAATAATGGTGACCATAAAACCACCAATCACTTGTCATATTAAAAAAAATCTGGCTCACTGTCCTTATGGAAATAGAATCTGTATTCTTTCTTGCTTTGACCTAGTGACTTCAGACCCACAGCAATGTTGTGGACTCGCCTGCTCCCTGCGACTCAATTCAATAGTAATTGGGAATTAGCAACAAATGCTGCCCTATCCAGAAATGTCAACATCCCAGGAAACAGTGAAGAAAACAAAATGACATAATGCATGATTAGGGAGCAATTAGGTATCAATGAAGATCTGATTGGCATTTTCTGATGTTCAAGAAAGTTTGTATACATCAACAACAGTGGAACTGTATTACAGGCCTATCTAGGCCGTAACCAAAATAACAGTAGAACCTACTGTCATTTGCTTCTATTCTAAATGTTGTTCATCAGGCTTACTCTTCTCTTTAGTAAGATCATGTCTGATCTGACTGAAGCTTTAACTGTAATTTCCTGCTTATCCCTATAACCCTTGTCAATTTGTCTAGTTCAACTTTGGATATATTCTTTAACTCCCCCTCCACTGTGGAAGAAAATTCAAAAGACTAGCAACTCCCTGAGAGAAGAAATTCCAATTTATCACTACCTTAAATTGAACAGTTGTTATTTTGAAACTGTACAGCCCCAGATGTAGATTCTTCCATTTGAAGAAACATCCCCTCACTATCCACCCTATCAAGTCCCCTCAGATAGAATTTTAAACTTCAATAAGATAACTTTTCAATTTTCTAAACTACACTGAGTTTCAACGACCTGCTCAACCTTATTTCTTATGAAAACCCTTTCATCCCAAGTATCTCCTGAGTGAACTTCTAAACACCGTTTTCAATGCCAATATATTCTTTCCTAAGTAAGGAGATGAAAACTGTACACAGTAATCCAGGTGTGGTCTCACCAAAGTCCTGTACAGTTGTAGGAATACTTCTCTGCTTTCATACTCCATTTGCCTTGCAATAAAGGCCAACATTCCATTTGCCTTTCTTATTTCTTTTATCCGCAAGTTAAACCTTTGTGATTCATGTACGAGGGCACCCAGATCATCTCTCTGTACTGTAGCATTCTGCAGACTGTATTTAAATAACATTTTGTTTTTCTATTCTTTATACCAAAGTGGATAACTCACATTTTCCAACATTATATTCAAATGCCAAATGTTTTCTCCATTCACACAACGTATCTATACCTCACTTAACAATTTAATTCCCTACCTGTCTCTGTATTGTCATCAAATTTAGCTACAATTTACTTAATTCCTTCATTCAAGTCATTGATAGATTGTAAGTAGTACTAATCCCTGTGGAAATCCACTAAATACGGTTTTCCAACTTAAAATGGTTATATGTTCCCAACACTGTCCTGTAGGTAGCCAATCCTGCATCCATGCAAATGTTTCACACCTAGCACCCTGAATTCTTAACTTATAAAGTGATAGACTGAAGTTGGCTCCTTAACAAATGCCTTTTGGAAATCTCTTGAATTCTGTCGGTGGGGGACTGGGTAGGATATAGGTGCTTCTCCAATTTAAACTTGTTGCTGATAATTCTAGAAATTTTCAATAAGTACTTCTGCATATTCCAAACCAAAACTACTCTAATTGAGTATAGTTTCACATATGTTCTTTTATTGTTAAATGTTTGCTGTTTTCCTTATTAGGGATGCCTGCAGCTTCTCTAGTGACACCTGCTGATGTTATCAAAACAAGATTACAGGTGGCTGCACGTGAAGGGCAAACTAAGTATGATGGAGTGGTGGACTGTTTTTGGAAAATCCAGCGACAGGAGGGCCTGGGTGCTTTCTGGAAAGGAGTTGCAGGTACAAAGATAGGAATTTACTTGTTTTCGTGTGAAGCACTTTGATTTTTCCATGTATCCATTCTTGTTTGTTTTGCTCTCACAGCCCGTGTGTTCCGTTCCTCACCCCAGTTTGGTGTTACTTTGTGGACGTACGAAATTTTGCAGAAGTGGTTCGCTGTTGATTTTGGCACGTAAGTAACAGTGTTTCATTTTAAAAAGGTGTTCCAAAAGTCTTCATGAATGCAACACTTGTTGTGCCGTTTTATATTTGGTAGCATTTGTTTATCATGAACTCGTGTGCTACATTTGGTCCAAGGTGCAGGAAGGTAAGATAGAGAGCTAACAAATTACTTGTGATCTAGTGTTCTGTGGATAAAGTACAGCAGGTATTCCACAGTTATCACATAGCAAACAGTAACCTGTCTTTGATGCACATTCAGGAAGAATATTGGCCTGTATTGGGATAACTCCATACTCTTCTTTTTACACTGCTATGGAATCTTTACCACCGAAAACAGGTCCGTATCTGGGACCTAAGTTTAATGTATTATTATTCTAGCATGTTAGTGGAGTATTAGTCTGGGTCATGTACTGCAGTCCTCATGTTAAACTCAAACATGAATGTGATCTACAAGAACAATGAAGCAAGGCACGCTAATGTGCTGAACTGTCATGCATCTAAGGCAAAACATTGTGTATAAATTAGTTTAGCAACTTAGCTAGAATATTTTATCCAATTCTAGGGACATTAGAAAGATTATGAAGGCTCTGTATCTTAGGTTAAAATAAATTTTCTAAAGACTTTGTGAAGAGCCATTTTTTTGTTTTACAAGCGTTACTTTTTGATTTTCAGGGCTTCTTTTCTATTCTCTCTATTTCTTTTATCAGATGATGCAATCATATGGTAATATTACTTTCTGAATCTGTGTTGTCATGTGTGGTATTTGGACTCTCACAAAGCAGAATTAGAAGAATTCATCAATATTCTTAATAATCATTACCCCTCCTTTAAACATAAAGACACAACATATGAGGAAAGCATTAATTTCCTAGTCATCAGTGTTTAAATTAGGACAAGAAAACAATCAGGTTTACTAGCAACAAAGTTATTTTGAAAAAAACCTAACACCCACTTCTGTGCACAAAAAAACCTATCACCCTAAACACACTTTCTATGGACTGATGAGCACAACCAATGCATCAGTTGCATTGCATATGAGCAAAAGTTAGATTTAGCCAGGCAGTTGGTGCCCTTTTATTCTACATTTCAGAGTTCAGTTTTGAATTTAGCACCTGTTGTTGAAGAGAGTTCCAAACTCTCCCACACTTCTTGTATCAAAAAATTTTCTAATTTCATTTGTGAAAGAGCTGGGGCCAGATCTTGCATTTTCAAATCAGGTGCTTTTCCCTGCTGCACTGACAAAAATAATTTGGCATGATTGCATTGGGTCGGCAACCCTACATTGTCATGTCCATATCCAATAATGTGGAAGACATGTGGATGCCAAAATCAGTATCCCACCTGACAATTTGAAATCTTTACTTAATAGCAACAAATTTTCATTACCTGTCATGTTTTTCAAGCATTAGGCTTAAAAAGACTTTACAGTCTCAAAATTCAACAATAACAAATTGGCACAAGAACAGTAGAAAAGGTCATTTGGACCATAGTTGAATGTACAGGTAGATTCATTGAAAGTGTGAGATTTGTCTGCTTTTAAATTAACATTATTATATTTTTGCACCTTCAATGAAAAATAAGGACTGATTCTGAGAGCAGGATGCCTTAGCAATTTGAGCTGTGATCATCTGCCCTCTGCCACGATAAGGTTCCACGTGGTAGGCTTATTCAGAAAGTAAGGAGGCATGGGATTCAGGGAAATTTGGCTGTCTGGATACAAAACTGGCTGTCCAATAGAAAACAGAGAGTGGTAGTAGATGGAAAGTATTCAGCCTGGAGCTCGGTGACCAGGGGTGTGCCACAGGAATCTGTTCTGGACCTCTGCTCTTTGTGATCTTTATAAATGACTTGGATGAGGAAGTGCAAGGGTGGGTTAGTAAGTTTGCAGATGACACGAAGGTTGGTGGAGTTGTGGACAGGGTAGAGGGCTGTTGTAGGTTGCAATGGGACATTGACAGGATGCAGAGCTGGGCAAAGAAGTGGCAGATGGAATTCAACCCAGAAGAGTGTGAAGTGATTCATTTTGGAAGGTCGAATTTGAATGCAGAATACAGGGTTGATGACAGGATTCTCGGCAGTGTGGAGGAACAGAGGGATCTTCGGGTCCACGTCCATAGATCCCTCAAAGTTGCGACCCAAGTTGATAAGGTTGTAAAGAAGGCATATGTTGAGTTGGCTTTCCTTGGCAAGGGAATTGAGTTTAAGAGCCATGAGGTTATGCTGCAGCTGTATAAAACCCTGGTTAGACCACGCTTTGAATATTGTGTTCGGTTCTGGCCACCTCATTACAGGAAAGATGTGGAAGCTTTAGAGAGGGTGCAGAGGAGATTTACCAAGATGCTGCCTGGACTGGCGGTCAGGTCTTATGAGGAAAGGTTGAGGGAGCTAGGGCTTTTTTAATTGGAGTGAAGAAGGATGAGAGATGACTTGATAGAGGTTTACAGGATGATGAGAGGCATAGATAGAGTGGATAGTCAGGGACATTTTCCCAGGGCGGAAATGACTATTACAAGGGGGCATAATTTTAAGTTAATTGGAGGAAGGTATTGGGAGATGTCAGAGGTAGGTTCTTCACACATAGAGTGGTGTGTGTGTGGAATGCGCTGCCAGCAGTGGTAGTGGAGTCAGATACTTTACAGACTTTTAAATGACTCTTGGATAGGCACATGGAGGATAGTAAAATATAGGGTATGCAGGGTAGATTGATCTTAGCAGGATAATAGGTCAACCCAAAATCATGGGCCGAAGGGCCTGTACTGTGCTGTACTCTTCTATGTTCTGGTCTACAGTACCAATATAGCATGGAACCCCCTCCGCCCCCACCTTTTGCACCACTGTTTCTCAGAACCACAGATTATGTATTCACGCTAAGGTTTGATTCATACTCATTTGTGAATGTAACTGCAACAGAAATTCAACACTGATATTTTTGGATAGTAACAAACACACAAGAACTGACTATATTGTGCCATCTCAAATCAGGCATGAGAAACATAAAATTGGCCATAATTAAAACTACAAAGTTGGATAGGAACATGGAGAGTGGTTTGTGGCAGAAAGCAACCTTCCTTTGCTCCTATAAATTGCATCCTTCCAGCTGTATGACCCCTAATTGGCCATCTATTTGATTGAATGCGCAGAGATGGCAGAGGCAGGAGCAAGTGAATCAGTTTATGTTCCACCTTCTCTTTGCCAAGAAAGGTAAAGTCTTGTGTCTAGTTCAAATTTTTGGTTTATGCTCCCTAATCTTAGACTTCCAAAATTATTTATTCATTTACATTTCCTTCAATACAACTGTGACTATTTTCCCAAAGTATTTAATTAATTGTAAAGCACTTTGGGATATCTAAAGGTCACAAAAAGCTCTAAAAAAGCACAAATTATTTGTTACTGTTTGGCACCTTAGTACAGTGGAAGTCTGTTATAACATGGGTGTGGCTGTCCAGAAAATTAATCTTAAAGCAGGACTGCATTAATAAATAAATACTTATTTTCTCCTATTTGTAACCAGCAAAGATTTAAGTAAAGATCTACCTCTTTTGGGAATCATGAGACCTCTGAGCTATAAGAAAGTTCACGTATATTGAACCACATTACAATAAACTTACTTTGTATTTGCAAAATGTTTCCATGCTGTGTCTAAAACAGTCACCACAATTCTGCAAAAAAGACCCTGAACTTCCAGTTAGAGAAAGCAAGAACTGTAGATGCTAGAGTCAGAGATAACATGGTATGGAGCTGGAGGAACACAGCAGGCCAGGTAGCATCAGAGGAGCAGGAAAGTTGATGTTTCAGGTCGGGACACTTCTTCAGAAATCTTCCTTTGCATCCATAAATGCTTTGCATTTCTGAAGAAGGGCTCCGACCCGAAACGTCAACTTTCTTGCTCCTCTGATGCTGCCTGGCCTGCTGTGTTCCTCCAGCTTCATACTGAGCTTCCAGTTGCCTGCCACTTCAAAATACCACCATGTTTCCTAGCCAGTATGTGTGTCTCAGGTTTGCTGCAGTGCTCCAGCAAAGCTCAGCGCAAGCTGGAAGAACAGCACTTCATTTTCTACTAGAGGACCCTACAACCTTCTGGACTCAATATTGAGTTCAATGACTTTAGGGTTTGAGCTCTCCCATATCCTTATCCCAACCCCCACATACCAGAGATAATAGGAACTGCAGATGCTAGAGAATCTGAGATAACAAGATGTAGAGCTGGATGAACACAGCAGGCCAAGCAGCATCAGAGGAGCAGGAAGGCTGACGTTTCGGGCTTGGACCTTTCTTCAGAAATTCAGAAAATGTTACCCCACATACCAGGCCTTGTTATCACGTAATCTATTATACACATCCCATTGTTAGCCATTATAGTTCTCATTAATAGCTATTCACCCTCCTAGCCAGATCATTATCCACTCCTTTGTCTGTCCAACTGTTCTTCTCTCTTTTTAGGCTCTATCCCCACCCATCGTTTACTTCCTACCCCCTTCACCCATCCTATCTTCTGCAAATAAACTGACATTTTCCTAGCTACCATCAGTTCTTAGGGAGGGTCACTGGATCCAAAATGTTAACTCTGATTTCTCTCCATAAATGCTGCCAGGCCTGCTGAGCTTTTCGAACAATTTCTGTTTTTGTTCATTATAACAGCATCCATTGAATTTTCCTCAGATTGTCACTCCTGAATTTATGCAGCCTTAAGATAGAGACTCCACACATTCATTTGAAAGGAAGCTATGACCTCAATGACTTCAGATTTTCCTGCCTTGCAGTTAGCTGAGTGTTCATTTGACAATGTTAAAACTGTTTTCATAGCCTCTCCCTTTGCATTCCTGTTCCTCTTCAAGCTTCTCTCCATTACAGCCTTTCCTTTGGAGCATCACTCTGTCACTAAAGTATTACAGTTTCTGTCCGTCACAAGCTCTCGTCTTTGCAGCCTCCTGGCCTTGCAAGCTCTCCCTTGCAACATCTCGACCTTTTGCAGCTGTGCTTATAAGGAGCACCTAGTCAGAAGTCACTGAT